GAGAGAGAGAGAGAGAGAGAGAGAGAGAGAGAGAGAGAGAGAGAGAGAGAGAGAACCACCAAGCCTGGACTTTTGAACCACAGTGGGCCATGTGGGAGTCTAGTGCTTTAACCACCACACCACCTGCTACCTACTTCTTTTTAACAATGAGGCCTTTCTTTCTGGCTTGCCCCATAATGTAACACATCTTATTCTTGGAATCTTTATGGCTCACCCCATAGTGTAACATGTCTTATTCTTGGGATACCCCACATCTGACACTTGCACCTTCATTTTCCATTCCCAAGACATAGCCTTTACTACTTAGCCTGGCAGGGAGGGACAAGGAGGGACTGGGAAGTGTTTATATACTAAGGGTATAGGTAAAAATTAGGATTGGACCAGGGGAATTAGACATGACTTCAAAAGCACATTAAAAATAAGAACTGTGTTCTCTGTAGTTCCCTGGGTAATTAATAAGGAAAGTCACGTATCTCCTGCCTTGGCGATTAGGTAAAACCAACATTACTGAATATAACATAATCCACATTACTGAAATTGTTTTTGTAGCTTATGAAATGCCAGCTAATAAATGATCTCAGTTGTTTCCCATAACCTATGGAGGTAAATAATACTCTTAGTCCCATTTAACAGATGATGAAGCTGAGATTCAGAGGCAGTAATTGCCTTACCTTCATAAACACAGGCAGTGAACAGCAAAGGTCTGTGAGTGCTTTTCTTCTGGTGATGAAACAAGCTCTTTGCCTTAGGGACAGCTGTTTATAATAGGGATAGTGGAAATGACCTGTGTGTACAGTGATATCACATCAGATGTCATGGATGCAATAAGCCTGAGGATGTTGAGGTCTGTTAATTGAGGCGGGCAAATGTTAAGAAAGCAGCTTACACAATTGCACTGTAGGCTAGGGTAAGCAAATTTTCTCTGTAAAGGGCTAGACAGTAAATATTTTAGATTGCAGGTCTATATGCCACCTGTATGTGCAGGTGTTCCAGGGTGACAGTGATATTGTAGTGTGAGAACAGTCATAAAAGTTTGTAAATGACTGGGTATAGCATGTTCCAATAAAACTTTATTTAAGAAATCAGGAGGAGGGCCAGATGAGGCCTTCAAACAGTAGTTTGAACTGTCTCCTGTCCTACTGGAAAGTACATTGGAGAGTATATTACTATTTTCATCACTAGATGGTGCCCTTCCATTAGTAAGGTAAAAGAGGAAGTTGGGTTGCTTTACCATGGGTAGGGAATTGGAGAAGAAATGATTATGACAGGAATTACTGTAGGAGGCTGAGAACAGGTAAAAGAATCTAAGTATAATTCAAATGATGGAAAATAAACACCCCCCACACACATCCAGAGTATCTCCTGTGTTCCAGGCATAGTTCAAGGTGGTGATGTGCTGCTCAATATTTATTAATAAACTCTGAAAAAAGAAAACAACCCTCCCCCCTTCCCCACCTCCCACTTTGTGGCACTTGTTGATTTCTGTATCATGATACTCAACATCATGGCTGATTTCAAGCTACTGACTTGCCATTAATCTCTTCCCAAAGCTCCTAATGACTGTACAAAGTAGCTCCAACATGCTGCTGGCTCAAGGTGTTTTACTTTGTTTTCACATTCACCTGGTGAGGGAAGTAATAAATGATAACAATAAAAAAAAACCCTAGTATTTTTAAAGCAATTACAGCAGATATCCTGCTAATTGTTTTATACATACTACCTTATTTTGTAGTTTTCAGAACCCTGGAGATACACCTGTCAACCCACTTTGCAGATAAGCCAATTGAGGCTTAGAGAAACTTGACAATTGACTCAAGGTCATACCTCCAGGATTTAACACTTGTAGTTTGGCGGCAACATCAGGCACTCAACCGGATCATACCCATCACCTTTGCTGTGACTCAGCAGGATATACATGTTGAAATCTGCTTTACAGCTCTGGTAAGTGCACGTGCCCTGAAGCAAATTGGAAAATAAGAATAATAAATAAAATTAAATAAATCTTAAAAACGTACTCACATAAGATCAGATAGCTAGTTAGTGGTCACCTTAGGGCTATACCTCATTTCTTCCTATTTCTTTTTTTTTGGAGAGATTTTCACTGTAGGGCGCGTGCGCTCGCCAGACAGACAGAGAGAGACATAGAGACAGAAAGCGAGAAATCACCCCCCAGGGGGTAAGAATAATAAATAAAATTAAATAAATCTTAAAAAAGTACTCACATAAGATCAGATAGCTAGTTAGTGGTCACCTTAGGGGTATACCTCATTTCTTCCCAACTTCAGTTTTTCCTCAGAGGGCAAAGGAGCTAGAGAGTAGTGAGTTTAACCAGTTATTCCCAGAAAAGATGAGTTTCCAGAAGAATTTGAAGGAGGGGAGGAAGCCCAGATAGATAGAGGAGAGGGAGCAATGTTCCAATAGAAGCAGATGCAAAGCTAAAGGGATGGTGTAGAAAGGAATGAAAGTAATCTGAAAGGTTGTGAGTAGGTATTTCAGGTTGGATCAGAAAGGGTGAGCTGAAAATGACTGGGGAAAATGAGAAAGCCTGGGTAAAGAGGGTTCTTTATTTGAGATGCTAAATTGTAGGGAGGTATATAATATTCTTCCAAGGTGGACTGTGTGAAGAATTGGAATAAGGGAGGCTAGTGGGGAGTGATGCACTGAGGGATGAGATCAAGAGTCTGACTTGGAAAAAAGTGATGAAAGACCTACTAACATTCTCCTTCCATCCATTCTGCTTCCATATGGGCAATGGGATTTCCTGGCTCCTTAGGATATTGCATGTAATGAAAAGGACATAGGACTGAGATACAAGATGTTGGTTCCAGTTTCACTCTGCCCATTACTGACAGTATAACTTTAGACAATTTCACTAATTTCTCTGAGTTTATGTTTCTTCATTTGTAAAATCCAGCTGATAGTAACTACCATGCAGATACTATATATGAAGAAATGGGTGTTAAAATATCTAGCTTGGTGCCTGGCACACAGTTGGAACTCCAGCAATCTTTGCCCATTCATCCATCTCAAAACACAGACATACTTGGGAGAAGGCCCTAGGTATGCTTCTATGATCATTGTAATAAAACACACACATTGGGAGTGCTAGTGCTAGATCCCACGTTGGTGCTAGTCCAACACCAATGGCTGTCTGGCTGCTGTCCTCCTAATTTCTTCCTAGCAAGCGGCTGACTGAGCATCTATTACAAATAGAAACGAAGCCAGGCTTTACCTTTTAAGCTTAGAGTATGGTTAAAAGAGGCATGAGAAATTATGTCAGTTATGTGTGCATTTCTTTTCACCTGAGGAAGAAAAGTTCATGACAATAACATTGAAAATGGCCTCTTATTTATGTGACAGCTATTATGTCAGGAGCTCAAGGATATTTGTGGGATAGCAGTGAAGTTCTAAATGCCTGGGTTTCCCTTAACTTCTCATGGTCAGATCATCTAGGACTGTTCATCCCGAAGTCACTTGTTCAACAGCCTTAATGATGTAGAATACAACTCAGATCCAAGAAGAAATAAGATCCCAACACATGCAAAAAAATAAATGTCAAAGTTATGTACTCCTAATGGGTCAATCAACTTACTGATGAAGGTGATCTCAGTTCTTCATTGAGAGTATGGTCGGTCTCATATTAAGAATAATTGTAATGAGAGTAGCTATCAGACTTTCCAACGTAGAGATTAGAAGCAACAGATTAGAAGGGATAATAGGTACAAATTTCCTATAAGCAAGTTACTTGAAGGCAGCAAGAAGGATCCCCTAATTGTTAGATAGCAGAGGGAAAAGGTGACAGGACAATTTCAGAAGTAGAATATTTAGAACCACTTGATAAAGAGCAACTAGTTTTCCATGCCTTATTGGATTTGAGGGTATCTCTGTATCTGACCACAATCATTTATACTCATGGCAAGCCCATTTAAATCACCTAGAATGGTGCTTAAAGAGGCAGGGAATTGGTCAATACATTTTAGAAGGATTTCTCTCCTACACACTTTATTTATTTTTGAAATTTATCTCTGAAAGAAATCTATTTTGTCATATGGAAATTGTATAGCATGGTCATGTCTTTCATGGTAGGGTCAGATGACTGGGGCATTGCTGTAGCATCTTCCTTTCATTTTGATTAGTTGTAAAAGGTAAAGACTTCCAGCATGAAGCAGGGACCCTTCCCCACATCTTTCTAGAACATTATTTCTTTATTTCTTGGTAGTGAGATTTGCAAAAGTTTGTTTCCACCATCACTTTTCCCTTTATGAGCTCATAGACTCTGATTGGGACCCTTTTCAGGCTACATCCTCGCAGACTGAGGCAGTTTGATGTTTAAAATCTGTCCTTTGCTATAGGGTAGTGCATGTAGTCACCAGCCTCCTTCCACTCCTTTCAGCTATGATGCTTCAACATTCTAATCAGTACTTATGTCCTCTCTGAAGACCTCTCAGAGGCTCCATTCTTTGCTCAAGTGAGTTAATGATTTATTCTTCTTTGTTTCATATGACCCTTCTCATATTTTTATCATCGTTTCAATCTTCTTTCCCT